GGTGGCCAGGGAGAGGTCAATGGGGGAAAAAGGAGACATATGTAATACTATTTGTAATACTTTAAACAATAAAGAATTTAAAATAATAATAATAATACAAATGACAACTGTCAACACAATAGCTTTCTGGTGTGAATGAATCAAAATTATACCTATATTTTTTGTCAGACAGGCAAAAAATATAACATTTTTTGGTGTGCCACAGAATTTTAGTAATTAGTTTATGTGTGCCATGAGATGAAAAAGGTTGAAAATCGCTGCTCTAGGCAATCAAACCTTGATCACTTCATTTCACACAGGTTAGTGAAGGTCTCGGTTTAATCAGACCATCGCCCAGAATACCAGGTCCCCCTCTCTCTCTCCTGTCCCCTCACTGCTTCCACACTCCCAAAATCTGGAGAAGGAAGACAAGAGGGAGAAAGGAGATCCATCCCTGCAGTCATTCAACACTGTCCACTGCCTACCCTCAGCAGTGGGACATGGACTAGAGTCAGATCTATTTCCTGCCCTCGAGGCCCTCACAGTCGAGTGGAAAAGCCTGGAAAGGACCCAGGTACATGCCATCTTCCAGGGTGGCTTTCTCTCCCAGTTCCTCACTTTTCCCAGGGTTCCTTCTCCCCACAGCCCCTTCTTCCCTCATTCTGCATGCTGGACGACCTTGTTCCTTCTTCTGGCCCTCATCCCCACCTGTGCCCTCCAGAATCTGTATCCCTACCCCAGGTCCCTCCATGTTCTGCAGACCCCTATATCCAAAGGCCTTTTGGACACCAATGCCTGCATGTTCCCAGAGAATCTGAAACTCAACAATCCAAAAAGGAGTTTTCCCCCCTTTCCCCCCTTTTCAGACCTGCTCCCCTTCAGCAGTGCCCATCTCAGTTAATGACATTTGCATTCACCTAGTCGCCCAAGCCAGTAACATTTGCCTCAACCCCCACATTTATTTAACCACCAAGTCCTGTCTGTTTTCACCTTCGATATTCCTGGAATCTATATTCTCCCGGTTCAGGTTGTACCACCTCTCACTTGGCTAACCTCACTGGCCTCTGTGAGTCTCAGATTCTGGGCGCTCCCCCAAAATATCCTTCGAATTGTGTGGTCCCAATACACAAGGGCACATGCGTATACCAGTAGTGCTGGCTATACTGGCTTGGGGGCTGGCGGGAGCCTAAACTCTGTCCCCACTCTGTCCCTGACCGTAACCAGAACACACCCTGCTGGGAAGGAGCCTGAAGGTTGCTTAGTACACCCCCTTGGGACGCCTAAACCCCCTCCCTTGCCACTTTCCCCACCCAGGGCTCCGCTGGCCTCTGCTAGTAGGTATAGGGTTGAGGAGCCCCATTCATCCAGAAACATCCCTGCCTATCCATGTGAACTTTAACTGTAGAAAGAAAGGACAGCTTTAGCCTAAGCCTGGACTTTTCTCCCCGTCTCTTCTGCCCACTGGGGCCCAGAGAAGGTCAAAATCAGTTTGAGAAAGAATAAGCTGTCCCAGTGATGATCAAGATGGTTGCCTGAGAGGGTTGCCAGTTTAAAAATATAAGATGCCGCCCTAACCAGTTTGGCTCAGTGAATGGAGCGTCGGCCTGCGGACTGAAGGGTCCCAGGTTTGATTCCGGTCAAGGGCATGTACCTTGGTTGCGGGCACATCCCCAGTAGGGGGCGTGCAGGAGGCAGCTGATCGATGTTTCTAACTATCCCTCTCCCTTCCTCTCTGTAAAAAGTCAATAAAATTAAAAAAAAAAAAAGATGCCTAGTTAAATTTGAATTTCAGATAAAGGATGGATACTTTTTAGTGTATGTATGTCCCAAATGCTGCATGGGACTAAAAGTTATTCATTGTTTTTCTAAAACTCAATGTACCTGGATGCCCTGTATTTTTATGTGCTAAATCTAGCAATGCTATGCCTGTGGGACCTCCCAGGTCTGGCCGAGCACAAGAACCCGCCTCCCTCTGACACAGCCTGAGGATGACCACAGCTCTCCTGGATGCCTGACTGAGTCGTCTGAGAGCTCAAAGGAAGGAGTAATTCATTCTGGGTATGTGTCTTGAGGAGTTAAACAAACAAACAAACAAACAAAATGGTTAACCAAAAGAATGAAATTGAAGTTGTGACTTAGAAGTGTTGCAGGCAGAGAATGGGAGCAAATGAATGAATGAATGAGTTTTGAGTTCCTTGTGGCAGGGACCATTTCTTATCCATCTTTATATCTATAGACAATTGAAAACAGACCTGACATAGACTAGATGCTCAAAGATGAAGCAAGGGAGAGGAGAAGAGGAAGGGAGGGAGGTGAGGAAGGGAGGGAGGTGAGGAAGGGAGGGAGGTGAGGAAGGAAGAGCAGGTTGTGCTGGAAGCCAGATGACCTTCACAGAGCTGGGGTGTCAGCTGTGGAGGCTTTGTTTGTGTCAGGATGGGGAAGGTAAGGTTCTATCTAGTCTGTGTGACTAGGTCTCTGAGGAGGGCAAGGGGCCCTGCTGATCCTGTGCCGTGGCCGTGCCTCAGATGCTCAGGGGACAGCTGGCAGGCAGCTCTGAGTAAGAGAAGCCGGTGTAGCGTTGGTCTGGGAGTGAGGAGATGAGGATTTGAGTCTTAGCTCTGCCTCTCACTTCACTCAGCCAGAGAATCTCAGGGTGAGTGAGACCCTAGATAGTCTCCAGGCCATTACCTATATTTTACAGATGGGAAAACTGAGGCTCAGAACTGGAAGGGACCCCTGTGCTTAGCGCTTGACCTCACTGCCTCATTTATTTGTAAGTTCAGCAAATATTTCTTAAACAATTATTCTACTTCAGGTATTATTCCAGGAGAAGCTGGAATTCAGAGATAAATAAAACACACGCTTGGCCTCAAGGAGATCACAAACTAGTAGGGAAGCCAAAAGGGAAAGTTAGTGATTGGAGCCAGTGCAGCCCTGGTCAGGGCTGAGGGGGGCATGACTGGGTACTCTGGGTGGAGCAGGAAGGGGCAAGAGGACGGCTGCTAGGGGCTAGGAGAAAGATGAATAAGAGAGTTGACAAGGCTGTTGAAACAGATCACTGAGGCAAGGCTTAGGGTTTAAGGGTGGGGGGGAATAGAGAGGAGACTGGAGAAAGAGGGGGATCCAAGGCATGGGGTCTGCCTGAGGTGGAAATATGAGGCTTTAAGCCCCTTTTAGCTTGGAATGCCAACTCTGGCTCTTAGGGCTCCCAGAGCCCAGATTCCTCCCTCAAGCCTGGCACCAGCCTTCAGCATTCCCATATACCCGTTCTCAGTTCATCTGTCTTGCTGCCACAGAGATCTACTTTTCTGAAACTGAAGCTTGGCCTCAGTTTCCCTGTTGGGACAATGGGCCCTCTTCCTGACTCCCAGCATCAGGAATAGCATTGACAGAGATCTGCGGAGGAACCCCGCAGCCGATGCTCTCCATCCCAACCCCGTTTTCTCAGGGGTTGGAGTGGCAGGTGTCAGCGTGGCCATGGGCCTCCTGCTCCCCTCCCCCGCTGTGTTCCCTATAATTTTATATTGAGACCTGTGGTCATGACGTGGGTTTTACTGCACTAACGACATGGCCTGCCCAGGTTTAATGACAAAATCCATACTCTGGCCCTGGGCCTGCTCCTCGTTTGCATAATTCCCAGAATACAGCTCCCTGAAGCTTTTGACCTGGGCCATTACAGTGGCCATAAAATGGGCCATAAAACCGCTGGGGATGGCCCAGAGGAGGGGGCCGTGGTCTTGCGGGGGTGGGAACAAAGTCCTCAGCCCCCTACTCTTCCTCGGCCTGGGAGGAGGCATCCTCTGGCTCTCCCCTTCCACAGTTCCCAGGCCGGACAGGCCTCCAGAAATCCTTAGCCCAGCTGTCCATCAGATGCAGAAATCACAGGTAGGCAGACCGAGCCCACCAGCGTCAGGCTGTCAAAAAGCATCTTCTCCTTGAGCATCCCTTACTCCTGCCCTCACCTCCCATCCCATAGCTGGCCAAGCCCTGTGCCACAGGTGGGTCTAGGTCATTTGGGCCCATGTTCTATCTTGTCCCTCTGCAGGAGGCCTAGTTCCCCAGGGAGGTCAGGAGCCAGTCTGAGCAGCACGGTGGGGAGACACGGGAAACATGAGGGGATGGGGACAGGGACGGGGACGGGCTGTCAGTGCTAAAGATGATGAATGGAGGAGGTGAGGCAGGAGGCCCAGTGTTATCGGCAGTAGATGGCGGGTGCGGGCGCTCGCCGCTCCTGCTAATCCCCGGGCGCTGCCTCAGCCCTTGCACTGATAACGAGGAAATGGGACTGACAACAATTTTTAGCTGAGAGATTCTTCACCAAAATGCCAGGCGGCCGGAGGTCTGACAGCGCCTGATTGAGTGTGTGAGTGTGTGGGGGGAACGCCCGCAGCCCCCTCCCCTCCCATGCAAAGATGGATCGCTCATTCCGCCTCCCGTCCACATTCATTACCGCGCCTCCCTCCCGCCACCCCCGTTCCCACGGCACCTGCCACCTCCATTTCTCTGCCTGCCGCAGGTATCCCTGGGAGCACGAGGAGAGCGGGGAGCAGAGGGGACCCTGACCCTATCCTCAGC